AAAAAAAAAAAAAAGAGATCATAAACCTTTTTTACCAAGCCTAAATAATTTAATGAGAAAGGAGAACTGGGCCTTACATTATGTCGCATTATTCCTCATCTCTACATAATATTATATTGCGTTAGAAGACTAAATCACTAGCTTAATAGTTTCCTGATTCCAGTTCTCTCTCCTTCCTTTTTCTCTCTCTTTTAATGACTTAACCACTTGTTTAAAATGTGCAGGTCAGTATTTGGTCTATTCATACTTGTCAAACAGATCTCCAGACCTTTCTTCATCTTGCAAATCTGAAACTCTGTACCAGTGAACAGCCCCGCGCCCCACTCCCTGCTCCCCGCTCCCCACTCCCTAGCCCCTGGTAACTTCCTATTCCATTGTCCACTTCCCTTACATTCACCTGATTACTACATCTTTCAGAGCACAGCTTTGTCAAATCCCAGGCTGGGAGTTCTCAGATCCTCTATGTTTTATTTCTAGTCAGATGACAGCTATTTTTTAGTTACAACACATTTTCCTTTCCTCAATCCATGCTGCCATAAACCATGCACACAAAGAAGTTTTACCCTTAGATCTGAAAAAATACCAGAAGGACCTGATCAGCAGAAGCTGGCAGAGAATCTTCTTTATGGTTTATACTCATAATCTGCACTCCAAAAATTTCTCTTAAAAATGCCTTTAATCTTTATTTTTAACTTGTCATACTTTACAGCTCTATCAACAACATTGTCAATTTAAGAAATCTGGATGTTCAAAAAACTTGGTGCTTTTAAGTGGCATTATCAATTAACTATAACAGTGGTGCTTTTATCTTTGTTAAAACTAAATGCAACCATTCATTTACTTAAGTGGTAGCGTTACAGATGCAGTAATTTTCCTAATTTTTAAAATTATCTAAAACTTGGTCATAACACATTTATTTATTAAGTTTTTTTTTTTTTAATCCAGGGATTTAACTTGGGGTGTTTAACCACTGAGCCACATTCCCAGCCCTTTTTAAAATTTTCTATTTGAGACATCTAGATTTCTTAGGACCTAGCTAAATTGCTGAGGCTGGCTTTGAACTTGTGATCCTCCGTCCTCAGCCTCTTTAGCTGCTGGGATTATAGAAAGATATATATTTATAAAGCAAATGTTCTCAAATTTAAAAATGTTATTAGCTGGAACTGGGGTTATGGCTTGAGGAACTGGGTTTGATCCTCAGCACCACATAAAAATAAAGATATTGCATCCACCTAAAATTTTTAAAAAATATATTTTAAAAAAATGTTATTAACAGCTAAATTCTTGAATGTGAAGTTGTTTCATCCAGTAAGGTAGAAATAGCTTAATATTTTTGGTATCTGCTCTTCTTCCTTTCTTTGTTCATTAGATAAAATATATTCACCTGATGCCTCTCTCAGCAAGGCATGATACTTGATATCCAATGTTCTAAAATATACAAGAATTACCAAGAGCAAAGAAACCTCTCTCTCTCTCTCTCTCTCTCTTTTCCTGCTGGTACTGGAGATTGAATCCAGGGGTGCTTCACCACTGAGCTACATCCCAGCCTTTTCATTTTGAGACAGGGTCTCTCACTAAGTTGCTGAAGTGGGCCTCAAACTTGTGATCATCTTGCCTCAGTCTCCCAAGTTTCTGGGGTTACAGGTGAATACCACTGAGCCTAGCAAGAATGTCTCTTTGCTGCTGATTGAATAAACTCTTGTATCTATGCAAAGAAACCATTTAAAATAAATGCTAAGTGAATTATTTTATTTCTTAAGTCTGTACCTTCTCTCAATAAGTGAGATCAATATCCACTTGATTGGACCAGACAGAAATCTCAAGATCCTCTGTGGCTCCTTCCTCCCCTTTGTCCACCATAAAAGAGTAGACCATACCTCTGAAACCACTCTGATCCACAGTCCACTTCTCTCCCCTCCACAGCCTCTATCAAGAGTCCAGTTCAAATCTGGACTCCTGCCGTGGCTTCCTAATTCTTTGGCCAGTAGTTTTCTTCCTCCGGTCCGTTCTCTAATCTGTGTTCTTTGCTCTTTCTAAGATGCAGACCTTACAATTTCACTTCCTTCCATAGGCCCAATTTCACCTCCTCAACCACACTGAAATGTTTCTGAAGAGACCAGCCTTTCTGCCTTAGGCACATGAGCCAGATCCAGAACCATTCCTAGGAGAAGCCTGAAGATCCTGTTGACAAGGCGTCCCCAGCCCCTTAGATAATAACAGTCATGACCAACATTACTCAGTAGACTGTTCCAAGTGCTTTAGGGGTAGTAACTCTTTTTACAAAATCAACAATAATAAATATTGCTGCCATTTATTGAGAGCTTCCTTTATATCCAAGCATAATATATCCATTAGTTACCTCAGAGCACCCTCAGGGTAGGCATTACTGTCTCCACGGGAAAAAGAACTCGGTTTGCTTGAGGTCAGTCAGTCCAATGGTAAGGAACAAGGTGTGAATCAACCTGGGGTCTGCCTGCCCTGCTCTCCACTCACCACCAGCATGAGATGCCTCACTGCACAGATGCCACACCTGCAGTAGTGATGTATGTGCAAATTAACTGTAGCCACCTCAAGCAGGCTGCTTTGACTTATTACTGGGAGGGGAACAGGGGCTGACACTAGGTCAACAGTGTGTGGCTGCTTTAGTCTAGAGACAGCAGGTTCAGGAGTCCTACAACTTGTAGACTCAAAGGGTCAGGAACATGGAAAACTTTTCTTATACTTCCTTTCTTTAAAGCTTTCTGGTGACTGCTTACACTCCTCAGAGGGGAAAGAAAACCCAGCAAATGGTGGGGGTTCAGAGAACCGTGTTAGCCCACAATGTCTGAAGGAGAAATTCTCATTCAGAGAGCTTGATTAACCACAGCAGACTGATATTTTAGGAGGAAGTAGGCTAAAAAAAATCTGCAACCCTGGCCTGTCATATGCTTAGTTTGTGAGAGAAAACCAGAGAAAGAGCTTACGATTTCTTTAAATGGAAAAACCCAAATGGAAAAAAGCCCCCAGATGTTTTGTCTGAGTAAGTCCTCAGTGTATGTCACGGGGTGGATGCAATTGCTTTGGGCGCTGAATGAATCCTTACCTGTTTGTGCAAAGAAGGTTTCCTTGTCCTCTCCATTCATCCTTGGGTCCAGAGGAGATGGGAAGAGGAAGGAAGGGAGGTCTGTGGGCATGGCACACTGGCACCCTTGCTAAGAGGAGAAAAAGTTTGTTGGGAGCTCTGCTTGGTCACGTGCTGGTCGGCTGAGTCATCCTGGACCTATCAAGAGAGACAGCACTTCCGTCAGTAGGCTGGGTGGCTGGAGGGCATGTCCCAGTGGCCTCAAGCTGCTCTGGGGGGGAGGGGGGGCAGCCGGGCCTTCCTTTCATAAGAAGCTAATTAGATGCAATTTTTGCTTTGGCTCTTCTTGGTGTTTCCAGATAAGCCCAGCTGCTAGCACCCCCCTACTTCTCAAGCAATCTAATAGGCTACTCAAACCAACCAGTGATATTATCCCAGGGTTAGGTAGTAACTAGCAAAGGGCGGTAGAAAGCAAAGGGTAGTAGTTCATTCATAAAATAAGTAAATAAGCAGAAACAAAGGAGCTAAGGGGAAAACATGTCAAGAGAAAAGAATTAATGGGGTAAACTTGATAGGGTCCATTGATGTTGACGTGGAGCTAGGAATTACGGCCAGAGTTGTCTCTATTTATCTGGGAAGGAAGATTCCTTTAATAGCACACTAAGGTAACTTCTGACCAGCTATTGACCCCAGCGCCCACTTTCACATGGGATTGACTTGTAGATGAAGCACCCCTTACTACATGTGGAAAATGACAAACCCCCAAAGTAGTGAGACCTGGGAAAAGGGGAGTAAGAAGGAAAGCCATACATTGAGAGCACTGATCCTTTCCCAGTACATTCTTTCCTGGTGAATAAAACAAACCCTGAGGAAGAAGTGTCCGTCAAACCTGGAAAGGCAGTCTTTGGGAAGAGGTCAAAGCATTAATCCTTCTATTACTGCTGTTTACCTGTGATGAGTCCTTGCTTCCCCGAATGCTGAAGTATAACACCAGAGAAGCACGCCGAGGCAAGTTTAGAGTGGAAAATAGAAGCTTATTAAAGGACAGTAGAAAAGACTTCTCCCCAGAGGAAGAAGGGGACCCAAAAGTTGGAATCCATGGAAGGGGGAGTCTTCCCTTTTTTATAGCTAAAGTCTTCTTTCAGCTTCCCCACCCTCCTGTCCTTGGTTTTCTGTTATCTTGCAGTGATGGAATGCAGGTGGGAAGGCCAAAAGGTGGGCTGGAGGAGTAATCTGGGCAGAAAGGGCTGGGGCGGCTTCTGGATTAGCACCTCCCAGTTTGCTGGGAGCTGCTTCATTAACATTTCCTTAGGAAGGGCTCCAGGGCCTTGGGGACATTAACATTTCAACTTCCCCAAGTGCTGCTTTGCTTTCCTGGACTCCATTCTCAATAATGGCCTCCATTTTATTTATCTTACTTATATTAGACTCGATTTACCTAACTACACTACCTACCTATCTTTAAATCTGGCTTCACTTCTGTAAAAACTTCTTTCCAGATACCAACCACTGACCCCAGGCTCTCCATCAGGCCAGTAAGATAAATCCCAGAAACTGACCACTGACCCTAGACTCCCTCCCATTTTGCCCTGTAAAAAAGACCCCAAATTCCTAAGCACTAAAACTGACCCCTTCACTGATTGATAGAACAAACTCCAAATTCCTGGGCACCCAAAGAAAACTGATTTGCTCACTAGACCACCTCTCAGAATAACCTATGGAAGCCCAGGCCCTTTCTTTTTT